CAGACAGCCTCTTCCCAATATGCGTTTTTGCAATTTACATAAATGCAAAAACGCATAAAAATGAGAAATTATATTAAATGATGAATAGGAATAATCCAGTCCGTTAAGTCGCACACTTTCCTATTCAGTACCACAACTGGGCTTCGCCTGTACGACGGTCGTTGTGCTGATAAAAGAAATAAACCCAGGCTGGAGCGCACCAGGCGAGCCGTTGCGATCATGCGTTTTTGCACCAAACCTTGAAATACCGTCTCTCAAAGAGGGGGAATAGGGGAGAAAGAAGGGGGTTCCACATTATGCCACCATTCAGCTCAGGACGGGGTTTGATCATTTGTGCGAATCAACGAATTAACGGCCCATCGCTAACCTGCACTTTGACCAGGAAACTTCAACTTCCTAGCTTTCGCAGTTCTGGAGGTAAGGTTAACTAATACACCCCTCATTTCCAATTACCAATGCATTTTGCTGCTCCCCTCCCCTCTCCCGTCTCCCCTCCCTCCCAGGCCAGGATAGCAATGACGTGGGCAGGATTCTTTTTGTGCATTTTGTACATTCGTATTCCTAGAGGCCTTTAGAAGGGAAACACAAAGGATCTTTTTGAAAAAGTTGCTGTCAGGCCAGATATCCAACGTGATGAAAGATGGAAGTCGATACCAAAATCGTTTCCCGCTAACGAAATTTGCATATTTTTTCTTCCGGGGGTGGGGGCAAGGCACGTGTGAGGGAAGTTCTCGAAACAGGAGGATGAGGCTTGCTCTCGACGTGCGCTCGAGTAGTAGAGCTTTTTGGACTCCGACGAATTTGGCATCTGTTCAACGTAAAAACGAAATTAGGTCAAACCACAAATGTCCGTGCCACTAGTACAGCCGTCTGTGATTTCTCCCCTACCCCTATACAGCTCCAGCATCCTAATCACACAGACGCTTCCTTCTTCAGCGTCCCCATATGCGCTCCGTTCGTTGGGCGGCACACAGTGGTCACTCGAGCCGGAGACAAATTTAGAGGTGAGCCATCATCAAAAAACGGTGCTCGCGCTGGATTACACGGATTTTCGGATGGAGAAAACAGTGCCCTCTCAACGGGTACACAAAAAAGAAGTGAATGGGGAGGAAAAGTGCTAAAGGAAGAGCAGTAGCGGGATTCGCGGCTATCCTCGGACGTTCGACCTTCCATCCATAAATGATTACAGGCGATGCGACTCGCAAATTCATTTCGACAATACGTCTATTCACCACCGCAAACATTCGGTATGCTTGGCTTCGCCGGTCACATCTCCAGATCTCTCACTATTGTGCTAGGTTGCGTGAACTGCAACGCAATGTGCACTACGGATGGCCGATGCGCGACGTGCTAGAGGGAGCCAGGAAAGAGAGTGCCGAAAGTTGGCAGTGCACTCGCCCTCTCTTCCGGCGCTGTGCTTCCCGTGCACTGTTCTAGCGTAAAAGCCACTTCTGTGCTATTTTACGTGATACTGCGCTCAAAGCGTATGGCATGCTCGAAGTACGATCTGCCTTGCTCCAGTGGCGCATTGCGGCCCCTTCCTGGACATTGCCCAGTGTGGCCAGGCTGAAACGATACTTGTTTCATTTCAAGGCGTGCGAACGAAAAGACCACCCGCCGAGTGTTGCTGAAGGATGGGAGGGAGTAGAACTTCGGATGCAAGTTTCATCCGTTTGGTGAGATGAACGATGCTCGGATAACGTGGGTGTGCCGAATGTGTGTAACTCACCGCAATGCCTTAAACCAGGCTTGTTGCGTTGTCCGACGTGTGTTAAGCACAGACTGCCAGACGGTTGATGCAGTGTTGGTGGTTTGTTGGTTGGTGCAGTGTTGGTGGTTGGTTCCCGTTCCCTAGTGCAGGTGGTTGGTTGTTTTTGCAAGAAAATATTTCATACGAAGCTCGGTCATTTTTCGCTAAATGCTCGCTTTGTAAAAAAATGACAGATGCAAATTTTCTGAAAAAATTTTTCCAGTTCACTAAAAAGTATTAGTATTGCTCGAGCGGCTGTTTGTCAAAAAATCTACGTCCATTTATATATACGATTGCGGTTCAGGTCCGAGCTGCGAACGATTTTTTCGAAAATACGCAAATTTTCAGTTCATTAAAAATTGAAGGTATTGCTCGAACGGTCGTTTTTCAAAAAATCCATGTTCATTTGCATATACCAAATGTGATTCAGGTCCTTGCTGCGAACGATTTTTGGGTTGAGGAGCTGCTTGAGGCTATGGTTGAGGGGCTCGACAGCTGAGTTTAAAATCTTTAGCTCGCACGTGTATAGAGAGTATCCCTGCAAAGTCTTTGCTTTCTACCTTGCCTGCTTCGCGAAATCTTTTCCCGCCAACATATTTTGTTGGGGGTCCCGTACGCGGGGTCTAGGCGTGTACGGGGAAGCATCTTGAAACAGGAGGATGACAGACGGGGTAAGAATATATATTCAAAGTTTCAGCCTCCCAGATTTCCTAGTTGCTGAGATGAAAGTGAGCGACAAAATGCACTCGCTTTGGGAACA